CACTCTTTTGTTATAATATTATGCTTTTTCTAAATTAATATTCTGTTCATGATGACGGGTCACTCAAATGTTACCCATACAATTTCAAGCAGATCAAGCCCGCAGTCCGTTTTTTATGAATGGTATTTCAGTTTACAAAAAATTTTTTAGATCTATTACAAAAGACAAAATTATACACTTCAAAATATTTTCTTCTTATGTTTTGTATCAAAAGTTAAATTCTTCATTTGAGAAGATTTTCCTCTTACAAAAAGAATAATAATATTTCTACATGTCAAAAATAACAGAATTTTTTTTTAATAAAAAAGCTCCAATATGATGAAAAAAGACTAGATATTTGACTCCAAATATTCTTTTAAAAAATTGTCAAAACCAGCTACCTTTTTCAAGAGCATAAATCAACTTTTTCATCATTTCTGTCAGCCATATTTGATCCGCCATATTGGATTTTTGAAAATGTACATCAAATTCGTAATCTGCCATTCCAAAAAACCCCTAAGTACTTAGGATTCTTAGGATGAAGAAATTTTATTAAAAAAATAAATCTGCCCTTAAATGATTTAATATTATTGTCATAAAAAATTATGTAATGGATATAAGGGGAGGGTACACCGATTAAGAAAATAATTTTAATATTTCACAAAATTATTTTTAAAGTAATTTCTTGTTGGGAATTCAATGGTTGTAAAATAAAATCAGTCATAAATTATTTTAACCCTTTTTTAAATTTCTATTTATTTAGAAATTGGTAAAATTTTGATATCAAAAATTACCATATAAAAATAATTTTGTAGAATATATTTAAATTATTTTTTCGATATAGTTTAAAAAATATCGTTTTGTTTGGAAAAATTGTCGCATGTAAAAAAAGAAATTAACTCTGGATAATGATAATTTTTCCCCCAAGATAAATATAATTGAAAAATTGTGTCGGCAAAGTTAAAGAAAAAAAGGGGGATAAAAATATTTTAAGATGACAACCAGTTGGGGATCATCTCATTGAGTCAGAGAGAGAGAAACTTTTTTCCCAGGACTTTGCGTCTTGTTGCAATCTAATTGGATATGAAATTAAGTCAACGAAATTCCAACAAAAATGCAGGGCCGCGTCACAATGTGACGATTTGAAATTTATATTTTCCCGTCTGGTGCCCCATTCGTAAACTGGGAGATACTTCTGATGACATTCGTCATCTTTTTATCAAGGTTAACATCACCAGAGAGCGCATCAATGCATCTACACGCACATATCTTTCACAAAGCGAGTGCACTACTAACTTATTATCTTCACTGAAATTCAAACATATTTTTTTTAAAATATTGCAATTTTTTTCTTTTTTCGCATATTATTAATAGAAAAACTAGCAAGCTACTAAACTAGCGGCTGACTTCTCACTCACTTTTTTTAAAATAAAATTAACAATTTTAAAAATAATACAACGTTCAAATTTTTAATTAAAATTTTTTTTATAAGGACTTTTTATTGAAAGTAATAAATAAAATTTCAATGTTGAATGAATTTAATTAGAAATATTAATGAACTTAGATTTTTGAAAAATTTTAATAATTCAAAATCTTCTAAAATTAGATAAATTTGTCAATATATATTTCATTAATTATTAAAAATAATGGATTTATAGAAGAATTTTGGTTAAATAGACAAAAAAAAAATGAATTCTGAAGAAGTTACAAATGATTGCAGAAATTCAATTATTTTCAAAAGTAATAAAATTATTCATCACAAAATTCAATTATGTTCAAAATTTACAAAAAAAATCTCGACCAAATCCTAATTGTTGTCTTTATAAATAAAAAAATCTTTCTCAAAATCAATTGTTTTCAAAAATTGAAATAAAATTCTTGTCAGAATTTCAATTATTTTCAAAAATTTTCCTCATTTTAATGATTTTCAATATCAATTATTTTAATAAAATTACCCAAAAGAATTCAATTATTTAAAAACAAATTTCTTGAAATGTAACTATTCCAAAAAATTTTATTAAAATTCGTCAAAAGAATTCAATTAATTAAAAATTTGTTATTAAAATTCTTATCACAAAATTCAATTATTTTTAAAATGTACAAAAAGATCTCGACAAAATCCAAATTGTTATCTTTATAAATAAAAAAATTCTTTCTTAAATTCAATTTTATTATTTTCAAAAAATTTAATGAAATTCTTTTCAAAATTCCAATTATAACAATATTTTTAAAGTTCATTAATTTCAAAAAGGTTTGAATTTGTAATTTTTAAAAATCTTAATTAAAAAAAAAAAAAATAATAATAATTAAATATTTAAGAAAAAAATGATTGTTTTCGAATAATTTTACAATTAAAGATATTCGTAAATAAATTTAACAGAACATTTTTTTCAATAAAACTTTTCCTTGATTTTCTAAAAATTCAAAAATTTTCAGTTTCATTTTCAATTAAATTTTCCAATTGACAAATATAATTTATAAACATTTTTTTCCTTTATTTTTAAAAAACTTTGAATTTTATATTGAAATTAAGAAATAGAATTGTTTTGAAAATTATTTTCTTATGAAAATTGAGAATTTTTACAAAAATATTAAGAAACTGGAATATCTAATGTTTTTCTTCCCAAAAGAAAAAAAAAATGGAGTTTGGAAACAATATTGTTATTGAGAAATAAAAATTATGCATGAAATGGGTATATTTCCTAGTTCTTAATCAAAATTTTCTATTATTTTTTTATAAATAAAAAGGAGAATAATTTGCATAATAATTTAAATCAGTCAGAAGAAATTTGTTATAGAAAAAAGCATATAAGAAACAAAATGGGTATATTTTGTTAATCAAAATTTTTTTTAATTTTTTAATTTGCAATATTATTTTATTGTAAATTATGAAAAAATACCTACATATTTTCGATTTGTCAAACAATATTTTTTCAAGAAAAAAAACGAAAGCATACACAGAATGAATGAAAGAATACGGAGATTAATATAGTTAATAATTAAAATTAAATCGAAAGAGAAGGTGAAAAAATTTTCTAAAAATGGAAAAAATTTTTTTTTTGTTATTAACCGCAGGTGCTGTACTGACATATTGGCGCGACGTGTATCAAGATAAGATTATCAACTACTTTACTGCAGATCTAAACCCCAGGGTCAAAATGTCATGGTCAATTGTTTATTTTTTTTTTATTAAGAAAATGAAAAGCAATTGCGTTTAAAAACTTTTTTAAATTTTCATCATCCACTATCCATTGACAGATAATTAAAAATTTTTTTATTTAATTTATAATATTTTTGCCTCTATTACCTTCTTCCTTTTTAACTCCATTTTTTTCTTGTTAATTCCACTCTATAATTACTCGATTCATTATACTTTTTATCAAAAAACTTTTTTCCTCTATTTAAAAATCTGATTAATGATTTTTCGATTCAAGAAATCGATAATTGGAATAAGTACTGGGAAAATATTGGTTTCTGGTTATAATTAGACAAATTTCTTTAAAGGTATTTAGTATCAAGTGAAAAAGAGATAATGAGATGAGGAAAAGGGATTGATTCTTCTTTCATCATCCTGTTGTTTACTTGTTGTAATTATATTTTCATTTCTATTTTCTCATCTTCATGGGCTCTTCTTTATAAATTCAACAGTCTAAGTTCATAGAATAGTCGTAACCGGTTGAACGATAAAAAAGAGTATCGAGCACGTCTTTTCACAGCTCTAACTCGCGCAGATACTCACTATTCTTGTATATAACGAAGATGTTTTTTCTCAACTTGTGCGGGGGTACTTCAATCCGATCGATCATCAACAATCACGACAGGGTTTTCGTCTTTTGTATTTTCTTTCGTTTTAATAACTTGAAATCACGAAATGCCAAAGAAATAATCTTATACTGCAAAAAGATTAGTCCATTTAGACAAATATAGAAATTATGTACTCTGGGAATATTACGGAATTCTTTTTGTATATTTAATATCTTTTTTTTGAGAAGCATAATAGGAGAATTCCATTTGTAAATCACACAATATTGTCCGTTAGAATTTACCGATTTGGCTCAAAGTCGTTGAATACGAAAATGAAAATAGATTTTGATGATTCAAAACGGTTGATAATAAAAATAAATGATGCTGATATATAAGTCATGTTACAGATAATCTGTAATTTAGTAATCCCCTAGTAACTATTCTCAAGCGAATCCAGTCGATTTTAAATTTTCATGTCCGCCATACTGGATCCGCCATTTTGAATTTTTAAAAACTGACCCCGGATTCGTATTCAGCAATCCTAAAAACCCCCGAGTAACAATTTTCAAGCGAATCCAGTCGATTTTAAATTTTCATGTCCGCCATACTGGATCCGCCATTTTGAATTTTTAAAAACTGACCCCGGATTCGTATTCAGCAATCCTAAAAACCCCCGAGTAACAATTTTCAAGCGAATCCAGTCGATTTTAAATTTTCATGTCCGCCATACTGGATCCGCCATTTTGAATTTTTAAAAACTGACCCCGGATTCGTATTCAGCAATCCTAAAAACCCCCGAGTAACAATTTTCAAGCGAATCCAGTCGATTTTAAATTTTCATGTCCGCCATACTGGATCCGCCATTTTGAATTTTTAAAAACTGACCCCGGATTCGTATTCAGCAATCCTAAAAACCCCCGAGTAACAATTTTCAAGCGAATCCAGTCGATTTTAAATTTTCATGTCCGCCATACTGGATCCGCCATTTTGAATTTTTAAAAACTGACCCCGGATTCGTATTCAGCGACCCTAAAAAACTCCGAGTAACAATTTTCAATTGTTCTTTATAAGAGTGTTCTTTATAAGACAGACAGGAACGTGTAATTTTGGTTAGTTGAATATTTTTAGAGGTAGAATACACCTAAAAACTTTCAGACAAATTGGTAACTTCTCACAGACAATATTGTGTGATTTACTCATAGAATTTCCTAATAAAATGTTAGAGTAATAAAATAAGACAATTTTCATTAGTTCTAAAGATATATTTTTGATTTTAGATGGTCAGAACTCCAGACTTGTCGGGGAATTTTTGGATTTCATTGTTGAGGAAGAGGAGAATCAAAAAGACAAGGTTGGAAGTCTTGCGGAATGGAGAGAACAACATCGGCGAGTCAAGGGAAAAGAAAAGGAGGGAAACAAGGAAAGACAAGAAGATCAGCGATTTCATTCGTTTGCTGCTCTCTCTCTCTTTTTCGCTCGAGAAGGAAGCAAACGACACAAAAACTGGCGAGCATTGTCTGAGAGGAGAGCGCGTTTCAAAAGTCAGTGGATACCCGCTTGGACCCATGCATACCTACCACTAACCTCCCAATCGAGTTCAGCGCGGGAAGGGACACGTCGCGATTTGATTTTTAAATGCAAACAAATCTACATCGTGGCAAAAGCGCCGCCGCCCGTCACTCAGAATCGAGGGACTTGAGGATATCCCCTCAAAAAGAATGGATCGCGGATTTTTTCAATCATCACAGAAATCTTTCTCTTCTGAATCCGCAATTCCCTTTCCTTTTGATCCTGAAACGAAAACCGATTTTTATGCTTTCTCTGTCAGACTCCACCAGGACTGATCGAAAAATTAAACAGGATTTAATTATTAAATAAGTAAATGAATCTTTGTAGGGAGGGAAAGGGACCACGACATTCCGGGGACAATGGTTTTTTTTTAGTTGGACTTTCGTAATTGTCATTTCTGACCATCCGAACATACCCCATTGCATTTGTGAGACTTTAATAATATGCGGTTTGTCTCCTCAAGAAAAGACCGTCATCTAATAAAACGATCAGCGATTATCGTGCAATTATGCCGTCTCATTAATCCACTGGCAATTATGTCTCTCCTTCCTTTTCAGTGTGTACTTGTTCTTTTCCTTCGCATCGTTTTCGTTTCAATAACTTATGAGTCCTGCACATGCAGCAATGTTGTGACAAGATGTGCATACCATAGAGGAGCAATTACAGACATAAGTGAAAAACCCGTTCGTACAAAGTAAATCTAAATAGGGTAGTGAAATTTTTAAATTAGGAATTATTTGAAAAATTCTGATTTGGAAGGAATATTTCTATGTATGAATGAGGATGAGCAAAAAATAAGGAGGCAAAAAGAGATGGAATAAGGTTTATTCAAATAAAGCAAGAGGTCCGCGCGCGTGGTGACGAGCAGTGACGCTATACTTTCGTTTGATGTCGCCGCGGTTGTCGGCATCTGATTAGCATTCCCCTTCCCGCTCGGTTGTCGAGAGAGCCGCGCCACCCTGCACCTCGTTCATTTGGAGTGAGAGGGAGAGGAAAGAGAGTAGAATGTAATCATTCGTCCGAGTGATAGACGAAGAGGACAAGATGAGGTAGAGTCGCGATGTCACCGTTGGCAGTGCCTCGTCTTTTCATCCATCCGTCCGTCTGTCCATCTAGTTGTCTAACCGTTGCCGGCCGGGACTGCCTGAGTTATTCCTTGCCGGTGGACCGGTCGTACGAGAACTGCGGCGACATCATTTAAATGTCCCTTTGCGGAGCCCTGGTTTTTAGTCCTCATCTCCGCGAAGCCAACGGCCCTGGACCTCGAGATACTCCTCACTCTGTCAAGCTAGAAATTGCGCTGGTATGTGCCTTGGATTTAAACCCCAAGACTCGTCATTCAAAGTCGGCAAGTTGTGATCTCGATTGCTCGCGAATAAACCTGCTAACTGGAATCTGGTTTCCTCAAACGATAAAAATGATTTCCCCCTTTTCAATGGTTACGATTATTTCATTCAGAATTCATTCTCTCGACACAATGCAATCTCATTTTCTCAATTATTGAGAAATTATTTTGTCCATTAATTTTAGAAATGTTAACTTTTTCAGAAGAATAATCATTTTTTTGAAAATTTATTTGATTTATTTGAAAAAGCAAACGGGTTATTCTTCTTTAATACATTAGTACACTGATAGAAATAAGGGATTAGTAAATTTTGCCATCAAATTGAATATTAAACAATTGTGGATGTCACGCAGATCTCTGAGGTACATATAAATTGAATAAGCAAAATAAATGAGGACAATTAATTAAACCATTGATAATTTTAAATAAAAATAACATGTCAGCATATAAAAATCTTTATGATAATAAGTGAACATTGAATGATGCCCTTCATTTGTGTAATCATTTATATTAAGAACAAAAATGACTCTAGAAAAATCTAAATCGACTTTTGGTCTATTTTCGATTTCATAACTCAATTCTCTTATTTATATACTTGTTTAAAAAGATGGTTGGATAGCCATTTTCCTGTAAAGTATTAAAAACCATTTTCATATTATCTGAATGATGTTTTGCTTCAGATAATTTTATCGCTTTATCTATTAAGGAAAAAACAATGCCAATCTTTATGTTTATGTGGTGGTTCGACTCAAAATTATTTTTGTGTCGGATGTAATTTGGATAAGCAAAACCATTTCAGCAAGAACATCTATTAAAAAAAAACCTCCGAAATATTTGTAAGAGAAATAATAACATGAAATAGAAACAGTATTGTAGGAGAAATAGATAAAGAGAAGGTGAATTTATGCTGCTAACAACTAACAAGTTTATCAAAGTGTCGGTATCTTGGATGTGAATCATAAACATATCTAATGTACAGGGATCAGTGTGCCAGACAGATTTGATGCATTGGCGGATAAGTAGCGTTGAGTTCTCGCTTCATTTATCAAGGAACTAGCCCACCTGTCGTCACTCCTTGGCATTTCAGTTTCTCTCATACCCGAGAAAGAAGAGAAGAAGGTGGGTCCTCCAGCACACGCGTGCATCGTACCATTAGGTGCGTGTAAACGCATCTCATTGTCAAAATGAAATACGAACGCACACGATATACGAGCGACCTGCACCTTCCTAAAGACATGCCTCCCGGATAACAAATAACATATCGACTTTATTTTCATCGACATCTTTCAACTTCTGCATTTCATCTCAATTCTATTTTTAAACAATTTTTTAAATTTCTTCATTTTTGATATGACTGGAGGCATATTATAAATTATAATTACCGAACTGGAATTAATTTTTGTGATCTATTTTAATTGATTTTTTTATATGAAAAATGAAGGCATCTTCTGTAAAAGTAGATACTAATTCAGAAGGAAACAATTTCTTTTTTTGGATAGATTTTCCTATTGTGAGAAATTTAAATCGATTGGATCTAAACTAAGGTGGATGTGGCTGCGTAAATTATCCGAGCAGTGTGTACTTATCGAATGATTTACTGGCAGGCAGCAAACTTTGATTTACACACAACGCAACGCATAACCTGGGCTTTAGTTAAAAGGAGAAGTTGAAGAAGAAGTTTACGATTTGAAATGTGAAATAAGGTGGAAGAGGATCTTTCATCCCTTTTTCAACCCTTTCGATAAGGTACTAATCAGACTTATCAGATGTATACAATCGAACTTGGTTAAGTGAGAAAGCAAGGGACGGCCTAATTAATTTTACTAAAGGAGATTTCGCACTTGTCCAATTTCCCACTCATCTGTTCCTAAATGACCTTATGACCCTTTGGAAAATGTTACGGTTATTCTTCGTTGGATTATCATCAATAAAAACTAATATAAATTAACATTCATTTTCACTTTTTAATTTTTATTAAAGAATTTGTAACCACCTTACAAATTTTATTTACCGATGGTAAATAAAATGGAGTACAGAAACGCATCGTATACTTTGGTATATTGATAGATATCATTTGCAAAATAAAAAAACAATCAATCAAACCACGAATAATCTTAAAAATAAATAAAATATATGAGGACGTCTATCCTCTAGCGACAAAAGACTAAATCTAGCTTGTAAAATCTTGAATTCAGTTCCTCTAGGAGGATAAACTTTATCCTCCCTCCAAGATAAAAATTTTTAAAATTGTTTATGGCAGTATTCAATTGCCTCACGATACTTGGGAAAGTTCGGAGACCAGATAACAGACGCATAAATGAATTTGGATACTACAAATGTTTGGAAGAGAATTTCTATAGTTGAGATTCTCTTAAACTGTTTACATGACCTAATTAGAAATCCAAGGGTTTTACTAGCGCTGTTAACAATGTTACTAATGTGATCATTAAAGGATAAATTAGGAATAAAAATTACACCAAGATCTTTAATTTTATTTAGCCTTTCAAGCGCATACCTTCAATAAAGTACTGGTATGTGATGATTGATTTCCCTATCAGAAATTTCATTACTTTACATTTACGAATGTTCAATTTTAAATTATTATCTTTACACCAATTATAAAAATTATCCACATTATCTTGCAAAACTTGACATGAATAAACATTAGAAATTGGAAGGTAAAGTTTTACATCATCAGCATAAAGAAGATGGTAGCAAAATTAAGAAAAGAGAGACATCGTTCATATATGTAGAAAAAAGTAATGCTCCTAAATGGGATCCTTGAGGAACTCCAGATGAAGGAAAGAAGCATATGAAACACAGCCACTATATTATACAAAATTTGGTCTGTTAGTTTAATAAGACCTGATTAATTGTATTAATTTATCAGGAAAATCAAATGTAAGAAGCTTATCAATTAATAAGTTATGATCAACTTTATCAAAAGCTTTGGTAGCGTCAGTGTAAATAACATTAATTGGAGGGAAATCATTAAATAGTTCATTAATATGTTGCGTGAAAACCAATAAATTTGTTATTGGATGTATTCCACGTCAGTTCAACACAAAAAATTTTATTAGGTTTTGGGATTCGGTTGAAATTGGGTAGATTATATCCTCTGGTGGTAATAAATAAAATCCCTAAGCGATTTTAAAAAATTTCAAAAATTGGCGGACATATTGGATTTTTAATTTTTTTGTACTTTTTTTTGAAAAATATATATCTCTGCTTGTTCTTAACGGATTTTAGTTTATGACCCCTTAAATTGTTCGTATTGAAATATACTTTTATTTAAAAAATTAAAATTAAAAAAATTATTTAAATTTTTTGTTTAAAAAATTAATTTAATTTTTTGAAAAGCCATAGAAAAAATATGCTACCTTCAATTTTGATCATTTTTTTACCATTTGTAGCCATAAATGTGTTGAACTTGTCCTGAAATTTTCATCGTGGGACAGCCAGTAGTTTTTGAGAAAAAAAATAAAACGTAAATCCTCGCATAGCGCTGTAGCGCTCAGTTTTAATGCCGCACGATTGTAAATGGAATTTTAATGAAAGTACGAGTTTTTATTAACCCTAGAACTAAAATATGATTTTTTTATAGACTAACGAAAAACTGAGGTGGTTTGGTACCTCAGATTTGAAACAATTGTTTTTTGTAATTTTTTTAATTTGTCAACAATGTGGCTAATTTAAAAAAAATTAAACGGATTTTAAAAGGTTAATAGAGACAATTTTATTTTGATTAAGGCAACTTGAAAATTTAAATATTATTTACAATATATACAAATGTTAAATGATTTTAAAATAGAATCAAAATCATTTATTACAAAGGAGGTTTCTATTTTTTACGGGGGAGTTTCCGAGGTCTTACAGTTTTTCTTTATTTACCTTTTAAAATCCGTTTAATTTTTTCAAATTAGCCACATTGTTGACAAATTAAAAAAATTACAAAAAAATTCAAATCTGGGAAACCAAACCACCCCAGTTTTTCGTTAGTCTATAAAAAAATCATATTTTAGTTCTAGGGTTAATAAAAACTCGTACTTCCATTAAAATTCCATTTACAATCGTGCGGCATTAAAACTGAGCGCTACAGCGCTATGCGAGGATTTACGTTTTATTCTTTTTCTCAAAAACTACTGGCTGTCCCACGATGAAAATTTCAGGACAAATTCAACACATTTATGGCTGCAAATGGTAAAAAAATGATCAAAATTGAAGGTAGCATATTTTTTCTATGGCTTTTCAAAAAATTAAATTAATTTTTTAAACAAAAAATTTAAATAATTTTTTTAATTTTAATTTTTTAAATAAAAGTATATTTCAATACGAACAATTTAAGAGGTCATAAACTAAAATCCGTTAAGAAGAAGCAGAGATATATATTTTTCAAAAAAAAGTACAAAAAAATTAAAAATCCAATATGTCCGCCAATTTTTGAAATTTTTTAAAATCGCTTGGGGATTTTATTTACTACCACCAGAGGATATAATCTACCCAATTTCAACCGAATCCCAAAACCTAATAAAATTTTTTGTGTTGAACTGACGTGGAATACACCATTGTTAATTTTTTAGAAACAAAGCCATGTTGATAATATAAATAGATACAGAGCTTGAAACTTCACTAAAAATAATATTATAAAGACAGATTTCAAAGATCTTGGAAAAATTATTAATAATAAAAATTGGCCGATAGTTTTCTACATTAGATTTATCACCCTGTTTAAAAAGAGGACAAATCTTTGTGCTCTTCCAAACATCCGGAAAAGTACTCTCTGACAAAGCTAAGTTAAAAATAATTGTAAGTGGCTCAATTAAAGTATGTAAGAGTTTTTACTGCAAAAGCAGGAATAAGATCAGTACCTGATGTATTAATTACTCGTGTTTATTTTCAATAGGTGTCAGTTGAAAATGTTGTACATATGGTGTTAAAATAATATTTTTTTTCTGTGAAATCGCTGTTTAAGTTGTTAAACGAGTCAAATTTGAACAATTAGGTTAATCGGTGATTACTTTCCGTTAATCATCATTTGGATTATGGTGAAACGCATTCTGATGGTTAAGATACTTTAATCACGAATTATTACACTAATCACAGGTGGTGAAATCGGCCCTTAATATGATAGTAGGGGAATTAAATTCAATACCATTAAATTTAATAATTCCAGGTATTCTAGACTCGGATCTTAAACGATGAAAATGATTCCAAAACACTGTTGGAGATGAAGAGATCCTGTCCTCAACCCGATTAGTATAATTAGAATAAGCAATGTCAACACGTCTCTTAATATCTGTACGAAGGCGCTTAAACAATTCATAATCATGTAAATCATGATGCAAATTCCAATTACAATGTTTCCAGTTATAACGAAGAGAGGATTGATTAATTAATGTCTGTTCCTTCAAATACTAAGTATCTGCTTGTCTGTATTACTAATAGCTTGCTTGTTTCAACAATTTTAAAACACTTTTAGGCTACTACTATCCAAAGGATAGTAGTCCATGGACTGCTTCTGGTAGTTTTTTTGCCCTAAGAACATTTAGAATTATTCTGGACTAAAAATTCTCGTTTAGAAATAACTTACCAAAAAAATAACTATTTTATTGACACTACTCAGTGTTGTAAAACATATAACTTTAATTTGCCAGAAACAATTTTTCATTTTTTGACACAATGTCCTATATACACACCAATTAGATCTATATTTCTTAGTAAATATATACAAAAGGATTTTAACCTTGACGAGACCAAAGTTTTGCAAAACATTTTATGTATTGATGATATTGAGCAGGTAAATGATGTGTACTGCTATGTTGGAAATGCTTTGAAAATTATAGCCTTCATTAAAAATGAATAATTGTAAATTAGGTGATTTGGAAATACGTCGTATGATGCACATTGTAATAATTGATACTCGAACCTTTGTAACAATATACTATTATAAACAGGCTTCTGTTTCCGGCACCGTTGAGTTGTGCACGCGTTTGTAAAGGGTTAAGAGTTTTTGTCAAAATCTGGAATATTTTATTGAAGGGTGGGTAGTGTAGTGTTTGAGATAACAAAGGAAAGAGTGGTGGTGAAAGTTAAAAGAGTGTATGTGTACGAGTGGGTAAGTGTGAGAGTGATAAAAAAGGTAAAAAAGAGTAATGGATATTGTGAGGTTAGGTTGCTTGAAGTGAGAAAAAGGAGAGAGAGAGACAGTGGGAAATATAGTGTGATAAGGTAGATTTCTGGAATAGCTGAATTTGATTCAAGTAGAGTGCGAGAGAGTGAGAAAAAGGCGCGAATTTTCAAAAAAAGGAATAGGGAAGAATGGGAAGGTGATGTCGTGTAAAGACTGCATGGACTTGATGGAGCTAGTGGAAATGTTGAATGAGGCAATGGAAGAGCGTTTTGTGTAAGTAGGGAAGAATTTTGTGACGGTGTGTGGAGCAGGTGATGAGAGGGGTAAAGATGAGGATGAGGAAATGGAAAGAATGCAGGAAAAGTGGAAAAGGTGCGCGAGTGAGTTGGAAGGTATGACAGAAAGAGTGGATGAATTGGAAGAATTTATATTAGAGAAGAAGGAAGAGGATAGAAAAATTGAGGTTTTTTTAAAAAAAGGGGTAAAAATGAGTAGTGAGGGGAGTGAAAGTGTATATTATGAACGAAAGGTGAATGAGTTGGAAAGAAGAGTGGAATGGATGGAAAAGGATAAAAGAAAAAGGAATATAGTGATTAGGGGTATGAATGCAGGATTGAGTGAAGGAAGAAAAGAGGTGGAGAGACTGGCTGAAAGGATAGGGGTGAATAGGTGATAGGCAGGTGAGAACGATGAGTATGGATGCGAATGGGATTCCGAGGATGTGGTTAGTGGAACTGGGAAGTGAGGAGGAGAAAGAGGAGGTTATGAGGTTGAAAGGAAGGTTGCTAGGATGTGCTGAGAGAATAGATGAGGACAGAACGTGGAGGGAGAGGAGAATAAGATGGTTACTGGGAGAGAAGGCATGGATCGAAAGAAGGAATGGAAGTGAAGTAAGAATGGGTAGGGAATGTGTGTGGGTGGATGGGGTAAAATGGTACGTAAAGGAATGTAATGGTCGAGTGTTTAAGGTTGGAATGAATGATCGGGTGAATGGAGAGAAATGAAGAAGGATAGTTTGATTGTATGTTTGTTGGGATTATGGTAGTGAAAGGTTAGGACGAAATAGTGAGAAGGAATGGTTGGAGAAGGAAGTTTGAGGGTAAGGATTTAAGTAATTTGAAGGGGTGGGACGTTAATGGGGAGTCAGTCAGTATGGACAAAGGAAACTGGAAACGGAAGCCCTGGCACTGCCGAATTTTGAGAGGATGAGTGAGATGCGAATAGGTTAAGTTGCGTTTAGGTCAAGTTTTGTTGTTGTGGGTTATGTACGGCGTTATAGTTTAAGAATTTTGTATTTATAGAATAAGTTTGACTTGTGTATGTAATTGGAAGTCTCGAACCCTGTCTATTGTAGGGAGAGTAAATAAACACAATTACTATTATAAACAAATAAAGATCTATCTATCTATATGTGATTTTTTTGTTAAGGATATCTTCAAGTCAGTAGGCGCTAGCCTACTAACTTGATAATAGTCTACCAAGAGAAAGCAACTACAAACAAAACTGAAGAAGAGGCTAAACCAAAGGAGCACTAGACTCTCAGAAGAGAAGAAATTTTAACACAACTTGGAAACAATACTGCGGAAGCGTTAATAAATATTGAAAAATAGAGAGAATAAGAAGAGGAGAAGCAATATATGAAGAGGTGAAGAAAGAAGGTGAAAACTTGACTTCGAAATACTGAAAGACCGGTAAACGACGGCTGTTCGTATTGCATGGCTATGAATCGTCGGAGCGTGAGATCGTAAAGCCGCCCTTATCATCGGTTGCATCTTAATGTAGGGTACGTATATATATTTACCTACGTATATATATACATATACCTTCGCATATACGTACATATATATAACATATATCTACATAAGTATACGCGGCTGCGTACATTACACGCGCGAGATCTAACCACATAGAAGAAAAGATGAGATGAGCAAGTAGCAAGAACACCAGAAGAGAGAAGAGTATGAGAAAAGAAGCGAGGAATAATGTTC